TATATAGCCTCATAATGACTTATTTATTTTATTTTACGTAACAGCTGTAAATCGTAGTGCCTAACTTGCACACGCGCAGCGAAGATTTCGTACGCCAGTGTATAGAGTATAACAGAATAGAAAGGGAAGAGTACAAGTTGTGGCATTGCGACGTATGAACGTGACCCCGACATGGAATTTTTTGGAACGGAAAATTTTGTGATGTTACTTATTCTATAATAAATATGTAATGCATTTGTACGTATTATATATACTTAGGGAGAGAATCTAGTGGTGAACAATTAACGATTATTATAGTATTATCTGACTATAGAGTAAATGATATGACACTGATCCACTAGCGACATGACTATGTGTTAGTAACTGCAATAATAAAATGATCTAAGTAATAATCTGAACTGAAGAACAGGTATTTTTCATTTTTCTAGAAGAATTTGAAGCGAAAAATGTATATGAAAGGTAATCTTATGTCTCCCTATATGTTGCCCATAACGGAACGGTATAGTGGCGCAATGGAGTGATATTAAGCCGAAAGAAATAAAAAACCTAATATTTCCCTATTTCAACTATTCCAGTTTGATAATTAGCTGCGTTCTAGCGTGTGCTATCAAAACGCTGGCGAATCTGATTAACTCGGGTATAAACATTCTATCTCCAGGTGTACTTGTAAAGTTTCTCTTACGATGACCTCTTAAGCGAATGCCCCCGTATTGTTAAAGTCTAATAAAAACGTTTCGACCGCAGCGCCATATTCGTTTCTAACCTGAACTTTGTCAATAAAAATCCCATCGTCTAGCCTAGAGCGAAAACAAAGGACAAGACGAGAAATATATAGCGTACGACTGTTACTAATTTCGTGCATCGAAATAGGGCAATAATAAACTGTATTAAAAACACTTTTTTCAATAACGCTTTTATTCGTACAAGTTATGCATCGACATGAACTATGTGTCATTGGCGGGACTTTAAGCAGCGACTCCTGCTTATATGAGAATATACATTATTTGTACAAACCATCCTATATTATATCAAATATTCCTCTTTGCGTGCCTAAACAGGCAGGATCAGGAACGTACGGTGAAGTCGGTTGGCGTCCTGCTCACCAGCAATAGCGTAGCTGAATGCAGTAACTATCGGTACAAATCACTGTTTACACTTCAATTTCAAGCACTATGTTTGTCCATTGGAAGCATGCTCTCTCAATGACGCTTTTCAGTTGCACGCGTGTACGACGTTATACTGAATGCACTTTATACTCTGCATCATAGCGAATTATAGCGCCGTTTGTTCTGTGCGTCTCCTTATGGCTGCTATCGTTTTACAGCTAGCTTTACTGCTTGAAAAGTCAGACGTCACCATTGTCTGAGGTGAAGGTTATTAAGATAAGCTATACAAGCTCACCAGAATAATTTAGTAATGGTACTATATCTGAACCCAATCAGAGACTTGCCAGTCCATCGTAGCTAGGTGTCGGCCTCATCCACAGCTCGTCGAGGTCCGGCCGGGGCGGGGTCACGAATTTGTAGTTCCGAAACTTCCAGAACTCACACCGATTGCCGATTCCCTCGCGGATCGCAGTGTGGCGTCCATTTAGATGAACATAGGGCCGGGTTGCCCCATTGAACTGCGGCCACTTCTTGCCGAAGATGTTTGGGAGATGCCTGCCCGTTGAGCATAAATAACGACATTGAGAATGACATTTGCGATATCCGTAGACTATTACCGTAGTAAACAAATCTAACCATGTACGTATACACCTTACTGAAATTGAACATAATAGTTGAAAAATATGATTTCAAGCAGACAATTCTATAGTTACCCTGTCTTGGCGAAGTACGACCATGTATGCATCATAAATAGTGTGAATATGCGTTCCTCCCGTGTGACGTTGAACTCCGGTGTATTTAAGTTCGTCCCAAAAATAAATGGTATTTCATCGAAGTGAGCTACACCTTGCCACTGTTCATTCCACGAATATCCAGGCCGATATCCGAATTCGTAGAAATATACGTTATTGTTACGACTTGCAAAGTCCGCTGCAAACCTAACAAGGGGACAGACAAATCCGAAATCACCGAGAGAATGTCCAGCTCTTCGAAGGAATTCAGCATTGCTTTCGTTCGGATCCGCACTCACGTACTGCTCGGCAATTTCTTGTGGCAATCGCTGTCGTATTAAACGGAAAAGAAAACTAAGGTAAACCTTAAGGCCCCGCTTCGTGATTGTCTCCGGATTGGCGAAATCCAAAACAGATGAAAGGTAATATTGTATAAAGAGAGAGCCTTCATCCATTGTAGCTCCCACTAGAAGGTCCATATCGTTAACGTTGCCCTCCCTGCAACAGTACAGAGGTGAAACGTGAACGATGTACCAGTGGCCGAATAAAGACAGAAGAAATAATAACATATTATTGTAAAGTCTGCATAAATAAGCGGCTGGCACCATAGACATGTGACAAACAGCGACTGAATCAGTAATTACACCAGAAACTTCAACTACCCTATTTATAGTCTCTGCTATTGTGCTTATCTAATGATTCCAAACAGGAAATGTAAACACGAGGTCTGCTGACGCACAACCATCCTGTTGTGCGTCAGTAGACCGAAATCCGAATTTTCTGTCGGTTGAAATCTCTTGTACGATGGAAAAGCAGTGTTTGTAATTCTAGTGATTAGCGAAAGTGAACGTACTTGTTTTTTTTTACTTGTGTTTGACGTGTTATCAGCGACTAGAAAATACCGATCGTAAATGTATGAGTCGTACGTTATCTTGGTACAATTTTCGTTATAGAAGTAAATTGGCATTAACGGACCCTATAAATTCGATCTAGGATACCTAATCGCATCTGGCAAGTCCTGTGGTACAAGATCATCTCCAGGCCATGGCACGTATGTGGTTTTAACACGATCATTGAAGTACTCGAGCGACGTCAGAATTTCGGACGTGTTCTTGGACAGCATACACTCAACGACCATCTTCATGTCTTTGCCAGAGGCGAAATCTTCGCTCGTGGCGCATCCGAGAGCCCCCGCAGCAGCCTCAAACTGTTGTCGGGCCTCATTAGGGTTATCGGTAATTTTATAATAGGGGGCCCCACTCTGAATTATAGCGCGCTTGAACAGACCCTTTGATAGAGGTGATACAAGATGAAAGCCTAAAGAGATTCCGCCCGCGCTATGTCCAAATATAGTGATGGACTCTGGGTCTCCATTGAAGTGCTGGATATTTTCTTTAATCCACCTAAAACATAAATACGCATTGTTTGTTATTTAAGTCATGGTTTGAAACGAAAACTGACTCAATTTCTATAATGAGCCCTATCGAGTAATAGCTTGCTTTTGCAAATTGCGTAGTAAAGGTATCGCACCTGAAAGCGAGATGTTGGTCCCATAAACCTTGATTACCAGGTATCTCGGGTATGCGTGCGTTCATAAACCCAAAAGGCCCGAGACGATAGTTGACGGTAACTATAATGACATCGGTAAGTGCTGCCAATATTGCACCATTGTAGAATCGGTAATTGGTACTTCCAAAAAAGAAGGCACCTCCGTAAAGGAACACCATCACCGTTTTAGGACGGCTATCGCCCGTATTGTCTAAGCAAATAAACCAATCAAGTAGAACTGAGTTAAATCAACTTGTGGTTTTTGTTCCCGTTACTTATTAATAATATTAACTAATCAAGTTTATTTTAAACATATGGCCTATAAACTAGCCTCTTTATTGTGTCTGTTTGAATTTTTTTCATTATTCAGAAATTACGGAGGCATTTGGTGATGGCAACAAACTAAAGAGGTAAATGAAGAATACGCTGAGTTTTGACTGTGATTTGCTTCTAAAGTAACAGTTAAATTTGGGGTACAGAGTACATATACACAGGCTGTGAGTAATCAAGCGAAAGCGAAACAAGTTACCCTGTTTTTCATGTAATCGAAGTTATAAGACAAACTTTTTCAAGTTAATACTAACTTGTTAATGGAGCCCAGATGTTAAGGTAAAGGCAATCTTCACTACGTTCGTCCTGGGTGAAATTGAAGACGCGATTGACGACGACATCGGGCTGTACACATGATGGCGGAAAGAACATGGCTTTCAATTCTCTCATCCATGGTTTAACAGGAAGTGGCTTGCGGAATCGTAGAGGTCCTACGCAGGACGATACAACAATGTAGGCAATATATGTGTACTAATTTGTTAAACTCTTATATGCCGATGTTGCTCAAAAGGATTAGCTTTTCTTCCGGTAACAGTGTTAGCAGTTCTTATCAGTTAATGCGAGGCTTATTATGTTAACGTCTGTTTACGTATCCAAAATGCCTAAAGAGCTCATCACCTCTATCTACTGCCTGCAGCACACTGGAAAGGTTGCATAATTTTCCTGAAACTAACGAATCGCTTTGCTTTCGCGACGGTGTTCTAAAGAGTCCATTTTCGTTTATGACCCTGTCGGTCATTTTCAAATTAATCTGTGAAACAAACAACCTTTGTTTTTATCCCATTCGTATGCCAAATACACGAGTCTGTTCAACCGAACTACTATGACACATTTCGAGTCAGGACTTTCGTAAAAGATATGGGGTATTTGGGGGGTAACGCGGTTGAACCTCTGCGGCTCGTTAGGGCCGTCTCCTCTGAAAAAGAAAACTGAGCACGTGTTAAGATTTTCAAAGCATTTAAAAAGGACACGATTGTTTTATGATAGTTTTTGGTCAATTAACAACGTTAGCTTATCTCTGATCAAAAATAAAGGCTAGAATTTTAATTTGATTTCGCCGATGTTCACGCTCATAATGGATAAGCATAAAGTATTATGGAGTGACTTTGTATATTCTGACTACGAACCGGACTAGTATCGGTAGAATATCGACGGTTTAAATATAATATTGTATTTCCCGCAGAACACCACTTATATGATACGTTTTTCGCCATAAAGCAATGATCGATTGGTCTTTCCGATGCTGATCTATAGTGTTTTAAAAATACACTAAACAAATGGATAGGTAAACTGAACAACGTTTTCATTATGACTCTCAGGCCGGCAAGGGTAGGACGTTGAGTCAGTCTCCTAATCCTAAGAGTTGACGATTTTGAACTATCTGTTGAGGTACACATAACCAAGCTAGATTGATCCAGGTAATATTGATAAGCAGTATTCTCATTTTTTTCTGTCACTATACGGTAGTTGATCTACGGGCCTTGAAAACTGCTTGAAATCTTGTTGTTTATGCAGGAGAGAAGTCATTTGTTCGGTATTATAACTAACGGTGAATATGACATAAAGCGCTTTAACAAATACCTATTTTTTTCAACAGGCTATAAAGAAGTCTGTAGTACTCTTCCAGCTCTATCTAATTGTGTTATTGATCAACTTGCTCAACTCAGATGAGTCAAAAATTTTTTGAGGCTAAAAAAAAGGTTTGTCGTCTAAGTGCAAATCGATAACATTTTATACTTGTTAAGGATAATAGCAAACCCTATACCTTAACGCTGGCTCAATCCGAGCTATTGGACGAATTTCCATACAAGATTGTATAAAACTGGGCGATAGGAATTTTTTCATTAAAAAATGCTTCCAACGACAAACAAACTGCAAAGCATTTTATCTAATACTAAACGATAGTTACGGACGTAAAATTCGAACCTAAGGTAACAAGAATAATTGTAGCCCCTTCGGCGAACTTGATAGAAACTGTTGATGATTTTATGCAAACTTAAGATGCGAAGCTGAGATATGTGTTTAGCATGCGCACGCTGCCCTTACGTTGGCCTAAATATCGTAGGCCAGTTTGCACGGTGGTTTTTTGATGACCCCCCTTTCAGAATGATTAATTACCGTTTGGAAACATTTGTCGTTTCGTTATGCCTTGGCAATTGGTGGCGACTAACTTGGCGAGTAATACTGCGTTGTATTCGTAGACAATATGCTTGAGTCACTTACCTAGCGGTGGTTGGGCAAACGGCACGCCAAGAAACGCGTTCACGTGCCTACCGAATTTCTCTTCTCGAAATCCTCGAATTTTTCCTGATCGCGTCTTGACTAAAGGATCATACCTTTTAACAACATACACATCCGCCGTACATGACGTTAAGAGCATCATAAGCACACATGAAAGCAGCGTACCGTGAGCAAACAGCTGCATGATTCGGGTGCCGTGCTCTTGGACCGATTCGTTCAGCCAGAGATGAAAGTTTCAATGGATTTATTTCCCTTATGAAGACCACGTTCCACTCACGAAAGTACCTGCGCTGGATGAAAGCGACAACGATATACCATACGTAAAGAACGAATGAATCTGCTTGAATTTCTCTGTGCCCACGTCGGGTGGATCAATGTGGGGACCTTTGCGTGTGTTACTGCTAGGTACTTTTGCTGCTTGCTACACAGGATGTAGCGAAGCGCGGACGAACTCTCCCTTTCCGCACGCGCGGTCACGGTCGATACAGAAGACTTTAACACCGAAATAATAGCAGTAGTCATAATAATCCTGTTCATAAGCGGTACTGCCCCATCTGATAGACTCGAAGCGCTCCCCCAAAAAAGTCGACATCCACGCACGCAGATATGCGCAACGGTAAACAAAAATATCGGTCCTGAATAAACATATACGAATAGGCGTAGACACGAAGAAACCAAAATAATTTTGCATTTTGGGGAACGTTCAATAAGGAAGCAGATGGTTTTTGTATGACTAGATGACAGTAGCACATCCAAAAACGATCGGAAATCCTAATTAATGCAAGTTTTGTGCGTATAAAGCTAATTATATCACAACAAGAACATCATGCGAAATAGTAAATAGATGTAAGAGCTACAGTGGTTCAAGAAAATGACTATACGCCAGTTATTGATAGTTCCAGCTCATCTGAAGCGTGGGGCAGTACAAAACGCAGAGATATATCTCCTCAATTGAGGCCACAGCAAGACGAGCAGGGAACGAGCAGGGAACAGTTATTCGATTAGACACAAATGCAGAAACAAAACTAGCGACCGCAGGATTGAAAAAGCGGTAAACATCGACGTTACCCAGCACAACTTAATGGAAAGCAAAGGGAATAGATGCAAAGCAAACTCCACGGTAAAAGCGCTGATAGAGGAAGGAGTACCTCGGACTTTCATGACGATGTTGATAGTTTTGCCGTTGTCGGATGTCACGAAGCCTTGTCACTCCTGCGCTGCCCGACGTCAGTGCCGTTGCCGGTTAAAAGAGCGAACGTGCTAACGATGTCGGAGGCCAATTTCAGGGCATCTTCATGTTTCTTTCAACAATTTACTGCTACACAAAGGTAAGAATGTTCTTCCCTAAGGTAAACGAGCTTCTTCCTGGATGAGCGGAAAGAACAGATATATTCGGAAGAAGATGATACCTAACGAGCGATAAGCCAACGCGTTGTCTAGTCCTATGCGCATTACTACCGTGATGAACGATTGTACCATTGTTTATATTTCGAATAATAATTCTATTAAAAAAAAACGTGCAACTGGATTCGCCGTGTCGACCCAAAGCGTCGGCACGAAGTGGTGTGTCTATTTCTAAATAAATAACATATTTCATAAAAGAATAGAAGCATGACATCGTGCATGTGAAGACGTTGCATCCTGAGCATATATTCAAGAATACATAACTAGCAATATATAATAAATGACAGTATAGTTCCTGTACAACTGGAGGGCAATTAGATTAGAATTTCTAGCCTCTGTAAAGATTCTAATAGTTGCTAAATGATGCATGAAAGATAAATGCTTGAACATTTCCAATTTTTGATAGAACAAAACATAAAAATTGTACTTTAAGTAGTGTCTCAGATCGTCGGATGACTAAATAAAGTACTCAAAACTCAGTGTCTAACGACAGCGTGGCAACCAAACGAAACGAATGATACCTCGAATGATTGGGGAATTTAATTAATATAGATTAAGGAAATTAATTAATGGCATCAGTACAGTTCTCTGGCTAAAGTAAGTACACGAAATCGACTTAATATTAAAGGGAATTTTATAGATAGCGTTCTTTTTATTTGAAACGTATTTAAATATGCTATAACTCAATTTTGGCTCGAAATCTTTTACAACTAACACAAACACTAATGTCTCATTGAATTGATACTATTTACCAGTTAATTTTTCATTACTCCTAAGTTACTTGAGAATTTATAATATTTTAATAGTCATTTATAAGAGGTGTTCAACATAGAATTACATGCTGCAACAAGCTAGCGTTGCGGATTATTGTTATCTATTATTCCAAAAGGACTGTCTAATCGAGGACTGTATTTGTTTTAATAAGCAATCCTTTGCATTTTCTATGGCGTTTATTCATCGTGTCACTAGCTGTACGCTATGTCTACGATAGTTTATATTGCCTCAATTTTTTACAGAAAAATTGAATATCACAAATAAGTATATCTAAAAAATAGTATTTCGATCTCGACCTCGATATTGTTTTTAAGCACTGCCTCAGCCGCTTGATGTGTACCTGCATCAACCATTGGTTCGTAATCAAGAAGTTGTAAAGTAAATTTTACGAATGCGTGACGATATAAAAATGCTGTAGTTGACCAGGTTTGGTAGATAAAGATGGCAACGTCTGTCAGAAGCATGCCACCTTACTAAGCTTCGAATAACGCTTGACCCCCCCTACCAATACGAACCTTACATATTAAAGTTACCATGTGTTTGGTAAGCGTTGCAAGTTATTCATTGTGTTGAGTCTAGGTGGTCTCGGTCGCCGACAATTGAACAAGCGTTACAGCACGCTAGCGATAAGCCAGATATTTGTTCTGTTTTTTATTCTACGGAACGTATATATATGTGCTACAGAATATATACGCGAGCAACGGCACCTAGCAGCGTTCGGAATACGTGTTTTTGCGGAGACTATCTTTTGTGTCGTTGCTTGTACTTCACTCGAGCTGTTCGATGACCACTTTCCTCTAACAGGCCCCTGGCAAAATGCCTATAGTCGCGCAGCGACATTGTCACTGCTTTTTCCTAAATGCCCCGAAACTACGCTTTTGCTGTTATTTCCTGTGCCGTTCGGTAACAATGCACAAGTATTGTTATGGTGTTTAAATTCCGCATATACCCCCCCGCTAGCTACTGACCTATACACGTCCACTTTGTTTACATCCATTTCTGTCTACACTTTCACTATAGAGGTCACAAGTATCGCATGATCTACATGTACTACCGGTCCGGCCATAGAATCGAACAGCGCACTCATCATCTTGCGTTAACATGAACCAACATCATCAACTGTGACGGCATTTTAGCGCAACATAATATAAAGCAGCCGAACTAAGAAACGAATTGTATTGGACCTTGACCTTGCCCATTTGAAGGCAACGCAGACTTTATGCTGAAAACAGCTCAACGGCATTCGCCTCTTTCTTTCTCGCTTTAACGGTGAACGAGCAAAGGCCGTCTCTTTCCGAAGCACTCATCACCGGAACGTAGAAGAGCTACTTGAACATTAAGGCTTATTCGCACATAACAGCAAATTGAAAAGACCGCTTAGAAAATGACGTCCAGAAAGCATAATTCATTTTCCCGAAAAGCGCCAAAATCTTGCCAGTCCAGTGCAAAAACAAAGTATTTACAGCGAATGCGAGATATTGAATTTAGTGTCATTATAAATGCGTAAATAGTAAAGCGTTAAGCCTGAACTCGAGATAAGGGATCGGTCGTTGTTCTTAACGGCGACGGGTGCGCTCATTTCATTATATTAATTACTGAAGTAAACACTATTTATCGATTACTTCATCTCTATTGGAAGTTTTTGACGAAAATGACGTAAGACCCCGAACAGCTCTCTATCTTTGAGTTGACTTCTAGACACAGAATGCATAGCTTCGTTGCCTTTGATATAAACGTTACCATTTTAGTAATGTGTAGAGTAATGCCCTGGGTAAGTATGCTATAAACAGTTTGTACTATTCGATAATACCACTGAAATGATAAGCGAGCGTAACCGACAGCCTCTGATAAATTGAAAACAAAAAATATATTAAAAAAAATAAAAATTGTTACTTGAACGAAGCCTATCAAAGCGATATGGCTTGCTTTCGAGTTGTCAGAAGGGAATCGTTACATGCGACATACACTTGCTGTTTGGAAAAAATTTCCTTTATCTCAAATAAAATCTCATGTACACGTGTATTTTTCCCAGAAATCAGGTACATTTCGAGAGCGATTGTCTTCATCACCTCATAGCAAATAGACTTCGTCGAGAAATAGTTTACGGGCACAACTGTACGGACAGCTGTGAGTTTTCGATTCATTTGTCAATGCTTTTGAGGTATTGTCAACTTACCCGTCTTGATGCCACCAAAATATAGGTGCAATAACCAAAAGTAACGTCAAATCGCGCGCCCATCGTATGCTTGATATACGATTTAACTCCGTGTTTTTTTTGTCTTTTTTCCAGCTGATCAATGGAAAAAGCACCGTTCGGCATCTGTCAAGCTTTTTTCAACACATCTAAATTATTTGACAATTTTTTCTGCTTTCATATCAATTATCAAGCTAGCAAAAAAAAAAAAAAAAAAAAATAATAATAATAATAGTGACAAAAGCGACATCGTAAGCACGGATTTGAACTAGCATATTTGAATTGTCTTTGACTTTAAAACCACTGTTGTTCATAAATCCTATATAACACCACATAATTTCTTATTACCATCATGGGCGAAAAGACTATATCCTATTCCTATATAGATAATAATATCTAGACCTTGATGACAGACCGCGTGTTATCACATGCCACCATTTGCTCGGTATGTTCTGCCTGACTCTATCTCTTCCACGACGCAGACATCGGAAATCGAAGCAAATGGTAATCATTATGTTAACTGAAAGGGTAAGTCGCGATATCTGAAAGCTGGTAAAATAATAGCGGTTCGTACCTGCATTCCTAGCTACCACACGCAGCAAACAGGGTCGTGCCGCGTCACAAAGGCAGTCGCCCATCAGTGAAAACGCTTTGTTACCTTCAAGTCTCCCGTACCCACTTATGATCGCGCGATCGTTCCTCTGTAGAACAGCGCAGAGAAAAGTGATATCCATTCAACGAGTGATTTGACTAGGGCCAGGAAAGATCACTCATTCTCGTCATTACTTCTACTTTCGTTATTCAGCATTGTCAAGACGTTTTCATAGAAAGCAAACGTCTCTGTTACGTAAATACGTGCTATCACGTTGTCCTATTGTGGTTTCGATTCGAACGTGGGCGTAAACATCTTTGGCAAGGAGACAGCAAAAGAACGCGTAAAAAATGTTGGTCTATTTCGCTTTATTTATATTGCGCGTGATAGTGTATTGGTTTTTATAGATAGGATTTTAATAATAATTGATGATCGGTCAACACTTTTATAGAAAGTGATTGATCTTGCGATCAAATAAATTCGATAAATATTGATAAACTGTAATTACGATCAATCAGTTTAAGCAATTCAAACAAATGTGATTATCACCTTTGAGATACATTTCAGGAAATGAAAAAGAAAGCTTTTTTTTTTCGCTTCACCACATATGCTCTTGTTGGGGGGCATATTACGCACCATGGAGCAAATTGCGATTCAACATATAGTAGCTCTGGAGGCGCACAGCTCGGCTTGATGGAGACCATAGTAATAAGGAGCGTGCTTTGCCATAAGGCGGTGTTAATGGACTTCTAATTGATTAATAGGAACTTGTTTCTGTTCACTCTGCTAGCTGACCTTATGGCTCACCGCAGGCAGCTGACAACTTGCATATACTGTTTGGCCTTTTGACTACAATGATATATATTCCTTTATATTCGATTCATCGTCGCAATAAATGGTAAAGTACAGGTGACTTCTTGTGGGTGCGATTGGCCCGACTCGGTGACCGTACGCGTAGACAGGGCTAGGAAAGAACATGACCGCGAAGGATATAAAACGAAAAAGATCTCGTTTACGAAAATGCCTCAACTTTACAAAAAATCGTTTTACAGCATGACGAACGTTAACTCTAATAAAGAGCAGAGAGGAATAGTTATTAGTGAATACTGTATTGATGGAAGAAAAGAAAATATGTTTCTCTATACACGAATGGGTCTAAATTGCAGACGAAAGATTATGCGCCATTTTCCAGTATCGCACGCGTACAAGGAGCAAACAGAAGCTGTCGCCGCTGCATTCAGGAGCAACCCCAGCCAGTGGATATAAACAGTGGACCTGAAAATATCGATGTATTGTATGCATCGCTTATACACGGTCCCGTCAAAACGCAATGAAATTAGCGTATTCTAAGGAAATCTTTTGAACTGATCAATTGTTCAGCTGTCCAATTGATCAACTGAGACAATTGTTTCTCGCAGCTCATACAAACATAAGAAACTATCAGTCCTATTACTAATAATAATTATATCACTCGTTACCACCACACGTGATAAATTCTTGTGGAGAAGCCGATACCTAAAAGCGAGAATCCTGTTTAGCACAATATAATGAGCTTGTTGGATTAGCTTCTATAAACTGCAGCACGTAAACTTGAATAATAATTAGTAAGTCTATAATACGTATTTTGATGAGCCGAAGCAGCTAAGTAATACCCTACTATGTGGAATATTTAATTCAACTAAAAATATAAAGAGATATTATAATTTTCAGTTAGTTTAAGCATTTCGAATGTCCGCCGCGGGCCTGCCAAGCATAATACATTACCGCACGCCTAAAGGAGTCTCTAATAAAAGGATGTTGGCGCCTTTAATGTAGCCTAAGCTATTTAAGTTCAACTAAGTTAATTTTTAATAAATTAAGCGTAGGCATTCCACAAGTATAAGTGGAAGCTGTCATGTCGAAACTCAGAAGATTTCCGTTAATTGTTCCACCTTCTACAGGTTAGGGTATATTTTAACGAGAAAACCCAGGAAGGATAGAGTCGGTGACAGACAACAGCTATCGCTAGTATAGAATATAAATTAAAAGAAATTAATCGAACAGATTACGAGGCAGTACTGAGATAACTTTGAAGCGACATCGTATGTCGGTATTTCGAGCACACTAATAGTTGACTGGATAAATTTTACGTTATATACGACTTTCACCTCAACAAGGCATAACTTTGTGCCGCACTACTGAAAATAAGGCGGAACGCGACCTCCAGAAAGTGGGCGCGTCACCGAGAGAGCTGACGACTATGCTCGTAAACAGATGGCTTTAGCTACATATTTGTAATTGCGCGCGCTTAGCGGTGAGTCATGCGTTACCCTTTCGTCAATATGACGTTTTGTCTGATTGATCTAATGATCACCTGCTTTTTTTAAGCGACTTTTTGAAGCTCCACTCTGATTTTGATGTTTTTTTTTTTTCACAAAACGATATCGGTGGCCTTTGCTTTACAAAATATTGTTCCAAAAACAAGCCTAAATTATTGAAGGAAAGATAAATTTACAAAAGTAATTTTTATTCTATAACTGACATGTGTAATATGTTTGCATAAATCCGTTGCCTCGTGTGCTTATGACACGTTTGTTCTCTTCCTGATATTTAAACACTTTGAACGCTATAGATCGAATGAGAAGTGCGCCGTAAAGAATTGTTTATTACGATATTTTCGGAGCTTTGAGGTAGGTTTAACAGTGGAAAATAATTATCTAAAAGTACGCTTATTTCAACATGGGCCGGTAACATGAAACGCTCCATTTCAATGGTTTACGTCAGCTTCCGTTCTCAAAGTTTTCGACGAAGATGACGAACTAGCTATAGGCTATTATGTATTTTTTTATTCTTATCTATTATGCTGTTTACTGTTCATGTGCCTGTACGTTTGTCATAGAACGGGTCTCTAGGAACGTATAAGCGAGCCTTTTTCACGTATCCATAGAACTGAGCTTATCAAAATGGTGTTCTAAGAATTACACGTGAGGCAGATCTGCGTTCAAAATGTTAGAGCCAGAATACCACGAATGTGATCGACAGGGAAGTCATTACAAATACGTATATTCAATAAAAAAAAAGTTACCGATTTGTGGAAGACCCATGGAAACTTTAATACCAGATAGAAGTGTGAAGATAGTTAATTGCGCGATTGTTCTGCAGACTACTTCGAAAGCTCCATTTAACAGATCGATCACTAAACCTTTGAAGAAGAAAGTGAGTGAAATAACAAAAAAAACGAGACATTTTTTAGCATGTTTTAATTACTTTTGAATATCAATAGTTTAGTTGCTCTCTTCTAAATAGACTACAAGCCGCTGCGTTGAGCCATAACTTTTGTCGCTTTCATCCTTAAGCATTTTTATATTCGGTGGTACTTGCCGTCTAAAGATCGCGTTGTCTGATTTCAGATTTAGCATACTGATGATAAATAATCCCAGTGTAACGCATATTAATATCATACAATCTCTAAACTGCACCACACTACTGCTAGTGAGAAAAAGTCATATTGGAAAATTAACTCTTAGGCATTATTTAGGACAACATCGGAAAAAATGCTAGAAGCACTAGATCAGTCATCAATTTATCTGTTATACTTAACTGATCGGTCTGTGAGACGGGATAGGAACGACTAGAGAAAGCTGACTGAGGTTTAGGTAACCTTAATCCCTTGTACAGCACTTAAAAAGACTACGGTAATTATATTTTTTGTTAGATCGTCGGTAACTGCATATATTTGTCAAATATAAATCAATTTAACGGTAAACTAATTCGCTAAAGGTGATTCCGTGGAAAGAAGAACAGAAGACAGCCCCTGATTTTTTAGCAAAGCTTACACCCTAGCGGGCAAATTTCACCGCGTAAGGTCACAGCTCGCATAATAAACACGAGTCCTTTGTATCGTAATGCTCGGCCTAAAAATTGGTTTGGGACCATTCATAGAAACGCTTTAGGTTCGGTAGCGTTTCTATTATGCAAATCATGTACAACTTATTAACATGGCCTCTGTGCACATTATGCAGGATAAAACATTTAAGAACAATAGAGGTTACCAGCTCAAATACAACAGAAATTCACCTTCGCCATGCAACAATGGGTGCCTAGAATACGTTTTTTTTTCTGAGACGTTATTTTAATGTGGGACCCTCAAATCTACTGATGTTTTTCTATAAAATGAATATCGCAAATAGTGAGCAAAAATAAGCTAGCATCACTACGCCATCGGTTCAGCCTTGTGTTATTGTTTTATTGAAAGAATATTGCCTAGACGTATTTTTAACCTAACATAGTCTAATAGTTGCCTATGGTATTGACGCATCAATAAGTGCACTATTGGCTTCTATATCCTATTTTGTTTTCTGCTATAGCCTCTAGACAGCAAAAGTACGTTCTTGAAGTGTTTGTATATTTTTTGCCATGTATTCACTATACATTATATATTCATATAACTAGCGTTAAACCTGTGGAGGATATGGTCTTACTTAAATATATCCAGTTGTTAATTTTATGTGCACTCCTAGCTATCACTTAAACAAATAACGGATTTTTCAACTAAAAAAAAAGTGGCATTTCATAAAGTTAATTTTTTTCTTCAGAAAAACTTAACTTTTATTTTTCTGTATCGCAAGTGTAATCTGTTTAGCATTTAAAATGTTTTATAATAAGTCTGTTATCGAAAGATTATCTTTACCATTCCTTCCTAGCTTATAGATTAACCCAAATAATTTAAGGGGTCTGTAGATGCCCCTTGAACTGGCTTAAACGTATAGAGGCTGATTGCTGATTGACCTTTTCTGTCTCAATATGAGCCCATATAACGAACGTACAGATAGGCATAGTGTTTAAAAAAAACATTAATCCTTAACGTATACATTAAGATCGTGCACGGAAAATTTCTTCTAAATAATTAGATTAACGAGTATGCAATGTCCTATCGTGTATAAGTGATCACTATCGCGCAACTTTCGTAGAAGCTGGTAACGTATCCGTACGGGTCGTAGTAGAACGAACTATTGATGGCTAACTGGCGATTTGTGCTGAAAGCCTGCCACTTGAAGCCAGTGCTAACGGTAATACCGGAAGCTCGAAGTGTTTATTTAATTAGGTAATAAATTGAACCCTTCGGTACTTATTGCAAAGAAAGCTCACCGTACATTTTGAGTTTGTACACGGAGTAAATCGTACAAATTGATTTTAAAAAAATATCGTTTTAGATTAGAGTGTGCCCTTGGATTATCAAGAATCTGCACGTTTAATGATTTTATGATGTAAATGGTACGTTCATTGTGAATGAATCTAGCTATATGCTGTTTATATATTTAGGCCCTGAAATTCAATTAGAACAAGCTGTTCTTTAGCAAAGAAGAATACCGGCTTTTGGTATACTGAAATGTCAACATCGGTTTTATCCCTATTGTTCATGTTTTGATTACAAACGGCGATAAATTGCTCGTTCCCAGCTAATTCGTTGGTGAACGTGATGATTCAGTGCCGTTCTATTTATCTTCTTGTTGCATATAAAATTGCTTTACTGGTCGGCTGCTGTTGAACGTTGACAACTCGATTAACTGCGCCTAGGAAACATCTCCTGTTGATTGACACAGGAACTACACAGAATACCTTGCAGCCAGGCGTGACACAACGGTTTTTCTACGTAACCCTTGTCCTTCGATGATTTAGCCTGTAATTCTATGCAGAAGTAAACGTTTGCCTTACCGACGGCAGCAGTACCGGTCGCATGGGGTATTTGCGTTTCTCACGTAATCCATCGATGCTATTTTAGTCATCGTATTTGCTACAAGATGAGCGTTATGCTCACGTAATCTATGATCAGTTCCGTTATTCCATATATTCTCTTTGATGTCCATTAGGACTTCTTCTAGACTATAGGTACAGGCATACCTTAACGAAACACGCCTGCTGTGTCGTCTATATTTCAATGAAGTCAACGTTACAACCTGAAGCAAAATGAAGTTGCATATTCTCGATACGTTATTGAACAGCAGTTGCGGTGTCCTATACGGCGTTTTTAGCGGGTGAACTCTCCGCACGGGCAGTTTCGTTTGTTGAACCTCGTACAACATCCACAGTGTCAGTCCGTTAGGATCCTGTTAAAAGGTTATGAGATCGCTGTAGCCGTTCATACTGGAAATTGCGATAGCTCTACAGTTTTGGTAGGATTTCGCCAATTAGCACTAATAAAACCAAACGCTGATGTCTGCCACCGGACAATATACCGAGCAGTTCTAATATATCTTACAAAGTTTCAATCTAATAAGCATGTTGTTGCCAGAACTGAACCACAAAGCACTCCCATTTTTCAGGACGAGGCGATCTTTCAACCGATCAGCTGACAATATCTCTTGTTACTCTATATTTCGCAGAAGTGCTTGCTTCTGATTAAATTTTAGAATCATGTGTTTACTACATTATTTATTTTATGTGGATTTGCTGGGCAACTGGTACAATCGATAACACACAACAAGTATGGAAAGGAGAATACTTTAAAAGATTTTTTTTAAATACAGCTGCTCTAGAAAAGTGTTTGAAAATATGTTTGTTTTTTTTGTTACATTCTTCCAAGAATCACACATATGTATATATCGCACGTCAGGTGCGCGTTGGTCTTACGAAGCTTTCCGACATTCTAGCACAGTGGTTGAAATAACGGTTGAAATAAATTGGACTCTTACATGCAGATCTACTGGAACTTGAAACGAATTAGCCTTTGAATTAGATGGGCTACAATGATAATCTTTTTAGTATGTGTTAGGGATACTCTTCCCTATTTTTTACGCACTCTAGTGGCTTCTGGACAGCTACAAAGCTAATGTTCGCGTTCATATATGTAAATCTTTATCTATGGCTTCTCGAAGTTGGTTTGTTAAGGTATGGAAAGCCTCGTAATCACGCCAGCTTACGTCAAGAGAATAAGCGTATTGAATGAACGTTGGATATTTCTCTGCTTAGTCTAGAAACTGTTTAAGGCATGATTATGAGGTGCGGTATTGTCATCAAGTAACGGGACTGCACACTTTCGACTGTTGTGACAATCGTCTATGGAAAAACTCAGACTAGCGACCTGCACTCACTATTTTATTTTCGGCGATCATCGCATAATGCCAGATGCCCCTGATATCCATTGCAAATACTACCATCACCTTACTTTTGAGCCACCGACATAGTCACCGAACTGAATTTCTCTCCATTCCTCCGTTTGGTCCCTATCCGACTAGCGGCAGAAATTGAACCATGTCTCATCTATGGTGCCCATATGCTTCTGTTGGATTATTTGCCCATTAAAGGTCTAAATTGCAAGTTTCACATAAAGTGCACCGGCATATACTTCCAACTGGCCTAAAATCAATTCACGGCAAACCCGTTTTTTTTTTTCTCTGTTTCCGTATTTTCAGTATTCATATTGTAATTCTGGAACACGTTACAACTGAGTTTTGGCTAACAGAGTCCTTAGACTCCACGTGCTGTTTTTGTGAAAAGCCTTCCCGACTGCGGCAATGCGTTTTTGTCATTCGGGTTCTGACATCTGGCCATTTCATTCCTGGCCTTCAACACTCTAATCTCCGTTCTTCTACACACTGTGCTTGCACTTAAGGACTTCTTGCTTCTTCTGTTTTCTTCGACCAATCTTCGATGAATTTTCGCATCGCTGTGGCCTTCGAAGAACAAAACTTAACTTAACGGTTGAGTGTTGATTTTGAAGACTAAAAAACATTATTCTTTCTGAACTCTATAACAGCTTCTTGAGGACAGGAGTATTTACTAGCAATATTTCATCTGATAGCTGCGCGTAGTTCAAAAACTAGTCAGTTTCAAAGCCCGCCACATTCGCCTGTAACAGCCTAATTTTCCTATACAAAAGTATACTTACAAAAATAAAGGATTAAAACAGCTTTATAAAGGATTCCCTTCAATCGATTGATCTCGAGTAAATTTGGGTAACTTTTGAAACACATTTTAGTGAAGAAGGTATACATGGTATATCGCTTTTGTTAACTAGGCTTAGCTCTGAGTCATGCGAAGGACAAATTTAAAGTGTTCAGTACAAGCTGAAGGAAACTTCTAGCCAAATACGTACGCACTTATTATCTGGCAACAAGTATGCCTATGTTTTATTAAAAAAAAATTCTATTTCAGCTCTAACAAAATGCCAGAAACGAAAACATCAAAACGTCGATAAAAAAAAAATGACTATTCGATCAGATAATGTGCTTTTCACTGTTTACCATTGGCGCATGTTGATCTATCTCTATGATAATTATTTTCTTGTGAGTCAGACACGTGCCCTTCTGATTGCCCAATATTTACCATATTTTTTTGTTCATTATGGCATGAAGTCATGACCACTTCAAATACCCTCAGTTGACAGGATAAGCCGTCTACGGAATCGACTGTACCATTAAACACATTTGTACACCAATAACGCAAGCTCATTGATACCTTTTCTTATAACAATGATACATGGCAAATTTCGATAGTGCATTGGAGCTGGCTGACCGCAGTAAGGTACAAGTTCAAGCCACGTCTTGTACGTCGGCTGATGACTGTTTGTTTATGTCCATGATAAAGGCGATTCGTAAAAATATAAGATGAAAACGGACACGAGCCAAACTAATAGGGAGCGTTAGATCTAAACGAAACTGCAGAGGTCAAGTGAATTTATAGATGGCCAGTGCCATAATAATTACAATCGTTTTACCAATAGTGTTATATTTATATTTTACAACCTGTTATTGTCCACGATGAAGGCTTTTACACCAGGTTCACTTTTAGTATGATGAGATCTAAAAATAGAAGTTTGCTGACCGATAGGCCAGAAAAAGTTGCGTTGGAGATCGTAGTTCCATGATTTCGTTCCAGATGTATTTATCCCTGCGTCTATGAACTGCTAAGACAGTACGTTGCAAAATTAGGTATACATATTTATCTCTGCATGCTTTAAGGGTGCGTATAGGGGTATTTTCCCACGTATTTGATACAATGGCTTGCATTATCCCTATGACATAGTAAAAGCCTCAGAGAGCAAGGTATAATTTGGATCCTCTATACAAAAGGTATCATATGGTCGGGCGCATGACTCAACAGGAAACGCGTGACAACTAATGACTTATTCGGGCAATTCCTGAAATTCGACTGAAAAGCAAGCTGTTCCCTTACAAAGAATATCAATTTCTTTTGAAAGAAGGTCGTCGATGCTGTAAAATTTTGGTTTCCCATAACCAACGTTTGGGTTACAAGCGATTGTAAATTCTTCGTTTACTGGCTTGCCGTTAGCAAACGTCGCAATGCGATGCGTTTTAACTGTTTCTCCTTTAAGGTTGTACAGCTCTATGATAATTCGTTTTTTCATTGGCCACGTATTGAATGAAGGTTGGTCGTTGAGCATTTGAATAAATACCCCTAAAAAGATTCGTCCACTGAATGCTCCGATTTGACATACGAACCTAACAGGATATCCAGCGGCCATCCACATGACTCCCGGTGCCGTCTGAATAGTTCCTGTTCGTTTGTGCTCCTCAATTTTCGTCCTCAGCTCTACGCAGAAATATGCTTTTGGCTTGTCGAGCACCATGTCAGGTTCTTTTGGACTATACTGCTCCTTCACCTGTTCATGGCTTGACTTCGAACCAGCCTGGTCAGTATGGAGGTCATCACGAAATTTGTGGTTAACGCCTTCGTCGTTCCACAAGTGTTCTTTGATTTCTACAAGGCTTCCTTCGTGACCACAGATACAGGCTAGCCTTAAACTTTTCAAAAAGGCTTCTGTAAGCTCGCCCCGATCTCCCATGGACTTCTCGTTACATATGACACACCGAAGCTGTAGGCCTTCTGGTGTTTCCCGTGTCACGCAACAACCGTAACAGAATATATGACCGCATAGTGAGACAAGTCTTTTCGGACTAAAGTCTCCACATGCGTCGCAGGGTGTGATAAAGCGGGCTGCACGACCCAACGGCTTTAGCGGTATTCGACCCGGGTTTAATTCGTCTGGCAACTCTCGGAGAAACATCTGCAAAATAGCCATTCGCATATAACCAAGGCATTATTCACTCATTAATAAGTCTACTTTGATTGTAAGAGCACGTCGATTCTATGATGATACTTAAGTTATAACGATGCAGTCATGAGTTCGCTTTTGTCCAGCAATAGTTAGTTCTGTATAATTTCGTCTCGCACTCAACGCAAATGAAGCCTGCTATAAATACAGCAGCGCCATTCAACAGCCAGGTACTCAGCTCTACAGAAAACGAATTCTTTAACGACATCTTTTTCCTAGTTCCCCTGGAAAGGTCCACGCAAAGACCAGAAGAAAGCTACGACAAAACATTTGGCCTTCTAAGGAGACACACCCCCAAGCGAAGGTTGTAACACTGGCCTTGACAGGAGCTGTTCACTCAAATTGTGAAGTACTCTGCAGTGGTACTTACATGCCCTGTCGTACCTTTACATACGTATGCAAGCTTTCATCATTACATTCGAAATGCTGTTGTGAATGGGTGTATCACCGTAAAGCATTGACCCGTTTGCGTGTATACTGCTAGAGCGCTGCTAACCTTTGAAAGCATATCTAGGCGGAACAAATTGATTAGGACGGAGCAATTTTCGAAGCTTTCACCTTAGGTCCAACTTTCAACTTTATTTGCTAGCATGCTATTTAATTGAATAGCTGAATGTTCCATAGATCAAATTATATTGAGGTCAGGGAAGTAGATAAAGCAAACTGTCGTGTAGACACAGCCTGCGACTAACCGCGTGAAAGGTCAGTAGCTCAGACCAACATCTCATATTCGTTTTGGCTAGATAATGGCACATGGGTTAGAGCCATACGGGTACATTACGTCGGTAGTGAGAAGATTTCACGGTCACAGCACTTCCAGTTAACTGGAACTCAATGCTACTAACGAACACAGAAAGGACACGAGCGTTGCAGTGTTGAGCACACATTCTATAAGGGGCTACAGAGAACCTTCACGTGGTTGAAAACGTTGCGGCCTAGACTAATATCGGTACCACCTCGTAGTGATGGAAATCTCGTAACACCTAAACGTGATAAATTGTGCGTTTATTTTTTCAATCACCGGCAGCGAATCTATTTTGCTAAAGATACACTGACAACTATCAGGTGCTGTCAACTGGCTAATTTCATTAGTGGACGATAACGAACTGTTCTTTTCGGCTAAGCAGTCCGAAGGCCTTCACTTAGAGTTGCGGGATGGGATGGGGTGGGCCCCATAAAACACACCAGGCGCAAAATTTATATTGAATAAAAAATTATTTTAAATTACTGATTAAGACAGACCGGATATATTTGAGCGAAGGACGATACTTGCGCGTACAGATGCATCACAACGGACCGATTGGATATCGCTGAGATTATCTTTGACGCAACGTTGATATTTAATTTTAGATACTAGATGGTAAATTTTGGATTGAAGTTTGGTGGTACACCATTAAAATGAAGTGATTCAGGTATGCTCCGAAACGAAATTGTAATGTAATGGTCATTGAAGAGTGGGGTCTACTCAGCTCACAAAATAATGTCAACTTGAATGGGTCATGTTTGGGAGCCCAATAGTTTCTATGCGAGTCTCGTGGGCGGAAATCTTTTCAAAGATCAAGATTGGTGTTTTTTCGCAATTATGCGCTCTTCTGTAGTGAATTTCCTAAGGGTTTTGTAAGGAATTTTACATCTCTATAGATTGCAAAGCTTCTAACCGTTGATGTATGATTTGCCTTTTTATTATGAATTCAGTGATAGAGAAAGCCTATACTGTCAATCACCAGTTGAGGACAACGACGTCAAGGAAAAACTATAGACAAGGTCAGCCATGCATTAGCATACAAGAGTTCCCTTCGTAGACCGTGCAGAAGTTGGCTTATCTGTATTGCCATATTCTTACTCCCATAGTTAAAATATTGTTAAAAACATCAATATATCTTTATTCTTACCTTTACTTATGACACAGTTTGTGTCATTTAGTGGCCCACTCGATGTTTCAATAATTCCTTATACACGATTGCGTCATTGCATTTAATGAACAGTAACACTTAATGGCCGTGTTTGATCATTGTCAATGGCACAGGACAAAATTATATATTCCAAACACGTACATTTCTCACGCGACGGCTTCTATTGGACTTCTCATTGCCGTACACCGTTGTATCGCTTTATGTTCTGGCTGCATAACTGGTTCATAATGCAGAGTATTGTGGAGTGCCTTTTTATCGATACCTTTGTACTGCTAGAGCCGTTCACTGGCCTAAACTTACGACCTGTGTCCTTGTTGTAATTTAGCTTATCTTACCACTTTTCCGACATGTATATCGTTACCTAAACTGTAGATACTCGAAATATCTAATGCATGTTCTTGTTGAATGCGGGCAAATTTTGCTTTTTTGACTTCAATAAGCTTCACACTCGATCATTTGCAAATTCAGCGCTAGTCAAGTAAGCTACCCGTACGGTCGTTCGTTGGGTCTTTCACAGCATAGCTAGTTTGCCTTGTGCTCTACGTGTGATAAAAACACTATCAAATGATCGATGTTTCCACACATTTGCGTGTTGTCCGGCTTCTTTCTACGGACATTCTACCATAATCGGTATGCGTGACGGCTTCCTATTGATTCATCGGTGCGACGCGCGCCGTAGTAATTGACAAGTGCGCAGCGTAACAACAAGTGGAAACGCTCTAGAACAACATGCAATGTATTATACATTAAACTGTAGAAACATCACATATCTTATCCATGCAGATTTGGGAAGAATCGGAACCATTGCATAGAATATTTGCCTTATGTGCAGTAAGTTCATCGACCTTGCGAAGTTTTCGCTATCCACGATCCTTACCTGGCTCACCGACAACGCTGAAGTCTGTGTTGTCCTCTGGCATATTTCTTTCAGGAGTGTCTACGTAAAACATTTCGACTATATCTACCCTACAATTATCCGGCGCAATTATGCATGAAAAAGTGTTCGCTTCTGCGAAGGCCAATCGCTAAACAACGGTTCATCGGGCGCACGCTCCAGGGTAGCAGCTATTCTTGCTCGTTTCGATCCGGTAACAAAACTCAACCAGGCATCGTTCGGTTGACCATTAGTTCCCTGTATCGAACGTGTGTTTCTGTGACCAGTCGTCATTGACATTACGAGGATACAAACATAAACCTTATGGTGATTAAGATCAATATCGACTTTATGGTTAAGGCCAAAATACTAGCTTCATTTTCGCTTTACATCCGAGAAAATGTCGATTCCTCTACGCGGCTGGTGACCTCTATCGCCATTAAGTATATGTTCTGTAAGTCGACTTCATTTGTCTGGGAGAACCGGTCTAGTTCTCTGACGCTCATTACAGATGAAACAGAGATGCAGGGATCCGTTTGAAGTTTCGTTATCGGCCGGAATCCCAGGCCGACAAGCATTCCTCTAGGGCTAAACTTTTTGCAAGTATTGCTTGGGATAGGCCACTTGGCCGCAGTGTCCAGCCCGCACTTGGCCTGGCCTTAACCTTTCTGGTAGATCGCGGGAAAACATAGCATACATGCACGTTAGCTCTTGAAATAATAATTCGCAAATACGATTATCAATGGGGTTAATCAATTAGTCAATGGGGTTTTCCGGCTCATTGATGTAGAACGATAAGGCCTTCCAGATGCGCGTTTTCGGGCAATAGACTAGCCAAGGTAAAGAGTTGTCTGAACAAAAATTCTTGACATCTTATATTACGTTTACGAAGAGCTTACTGTTATCTATTCAGTTTAGATCCCTGTGAAGGGCAGAAGCTGTAAGATCTTTGTGGCTTTTTTGGTGCGCCATAAATTGCGTATCAAGCTATTCAATACTGTGCCAAATGGAAGCGCTCAACCTTGTTATATTTTATCGGTTACCATCTCTGACCACTTATTGGAGAGAAGATGTAGGATTGCTACAGGAAATTCTAGCAATTCCTGTCAAATTCTCAGCAGATTGCTTTGAACATCTAGAATATGGTCATATAAAAAAAGAATAACATTACGTTACGAGGAAACGCTTCCCGTTACAAGGTAGGTGTTAGGCCGGCTTTCTTACCCGACTACTTTAAAGCACTATGAGTTGCTTCTACACATAGGTCAGCGACAGAACTGTCTATGATGCTTTCATTGCAACGAATTTTACCTTCATCTTTGATCTACAAAAACTTTTATCGAAACAGCAAGAAAGTAACATTGGTTCATTGGTCTTTAACAAGTTGCTTCTACACATAGGTCAGCGACAGAACTGTCTATGGTGCTTTCATTGCAACGAATTTTACCTTCATCTTTGATCTACAAAAACTTTTATCGAAACAGCAAGAAAGTAACATTGGTTCATTGGTCTTTAACATACGCAGCTACCCGTCCCAAATCGAGCTCGCTCTAACGCAGATTTATGTACGAGACTACTACACGACGGATGTGATTGGGGTTCGCTCTACAAAATGTAGCGACATCCATTACTAGCCTATTTATACCTCACTGCTATGAGATAATAAGCATCAAATAGCAATTAATGATAACTATTAGTAAAATGCTACTCACTTAACAGAGTAATTATTTTATTCAGGAAATAACATAAATAAATGCTTGGACAGCTCCGGACTGCTTGAAAAGAATGTGTAAAAGCCGTTTATTTCATCTATTTAAAAAATGATACCTTTGACGATTTTTACTTTCTTTATTTTGTCGCTCGTATCACGTACTGATGTACGAATCGTGACGGGTCGCACGTCTGCAGCCCCTCTTTATTTTCCAATCAATATCATCGATGGTCTAAATATTCCCGATTAGAAATTGTAGTAAAAAACGTAATTTAAACAGTTTTTTTTTATATACGTTTTCCTAGTATATACATACATATGGTACTGCGCTATGCCAATTCAAGTTTCGATGCCTCTCCTAAAAATAAGCCCAAATAGTTAACGTCCGTGTTTTCGCCGTTCAGCATTTACTGCCTCCACTTTTCGTACAGACTTTTTATTAATCCTTATCCTATGTTGTTTCATTAACAAAAGCGTTTACATCAAAATTTTGTTTATATATTGCTTTCAATGAAATACAAATCGACTCTTTTTCGAGACTTAAAGAAAAACACACTTGTTATTAGTTAAAGTTATAGCGTTATAAGTTCAAATCTAAGGTAATGTGTATCAAAAGCGAGTTTGTCAACACTTAATGCAATTGTAGCGTATTAAAAAGTCTGCAGTAGACCATATTTGTGGGCCCTATAATTAGACACAAGTCTTCAAATACTCGTAGTACGATTCTTGTAATGAAAATAAAAGAAGATAATAGAAAAAAAAAAAAAAAAAAAGACTAAATTATGGGATAATGCGAAGATCTGACCATAAATAAACTTGAAACTTTTCATCTTACTAGCAACGCACTCCTAACGCTACATGCATAACCACAAAATTTAGAAATATTGTGCATAGATAAAGTATACTATCCAAGACGCATACACTTATATAATACGTTACCTATTAGAGCACATCTTGATCGGAATACGCCATCCGTGTGCCTGGCCGGCCGCCGTTCTCTGGATGGGTCAAATCAGCCGGGTAGCGTCGAGAATGTCAGTAGAGTAGCGGCGATATATCTAACTGTCCGTCTATCTCTTTATCCAGTGATCCTCATAATCTGTCCCGTAACGCTCTTCCTATCGACGATTCGCACTCGGGTCTGCCCATACCACCGTCGTGCGTGCCGCTCTTAGAAATCGCCTCGTCGAAAACAAGCAGGAGCTGCTGCGCGAGCAGGAGCAGCCGAGACGAGCGCCGCTGCATTCGGCCGCCGCATCGCATTGCCAGTCAGCTGCTGCCCTCTAAAGCGAGTTGTGCTGTGGTAGGTGAGCGCAAGCGTTATTCTGGTCGGAGCGGCGACAACGGTCGCAAAAGGTTGTCTTTTACCGCCCCTCACAGAGGGCCTCTGTGCGCAGCAAATATTTAACTCTAGCGTAGTTGCTGTCTTACAATGTATACGAGGCTACTGGAAGAGGGTAAGGGACGGTAAGACTGTTCAACGGACTAACTACCCTTTACACTAGCTGCCCCCTCACTAGACAGGGGTTAATCAGACTTGAACGTGTAGAGAACTTCGTTTACAGCCTACCATTGATTCGCTGTATTGATGTTGGCCACCAGCGGACAGTTTCAACTGGCTTGACTGCCAGCGCCAGCGCCGGCGCTAGCGCTAGTGCAGGCTGCTTTGGTATAGATGTCTAATGGCAGCAGCCATCGCAGTGCAAGAAGGAGGAGGGTCGCGAACATGAAACAGACCCAGACATGCTCAGGCCCAGACGGGAGAATCGTCGCTGTGCTTTTGCTTCGAGCTAGCTAAAGGAAGCAGGGCGAACGAAATGGCAGGCCGACTAGTGAGTCACCAGTGAGAGCAGCGAAGCACAGTTTAGCTGCAAGAAGAAGAGGCGTCGACAGGCACCAAGTGGCGCTGCTGCTGCTATTGTCGTTACTATTACTATTTGTCGCTATAATAGTGGCTATTCTGTTTGTTCGAAAGAGGCCACCAACCATCTAGACTAGTTTGCGCCAAATTTCAATCGTGCAGGACTGGAATAAAGCTCATGCCTGTTCTGTTATGAGTGAACCTTGATTTCTGCTTCGGGAAAACACGATAGAATTTAAAAAGGTGTGCAGCAGCTCCGGCTGCGGTTGTATCACACGAGAAAACCAATAAAGCCGTACCGAACGCAGGTGATAGTGAAGACTGTATCACAATCAGGTGGTCCGACGAAGTGCACTCAGTATGGGGCAGGAAGCCGACGACAGCAAAACCGTAATTACCATGTATGTTAGCGGAATCAGTGCCAGTAAAGAGGTCAGTAGTAGAAAAGAAACACGATTATAGACGTTCATAGGCGTATCTGTCGATGATCGTCGAATAGGCAGTGTTGTTGGCAATTTTTTGCTATAGAACTTAAACAGATTCGTGAAAGTTTAGCTATCTGTTAGATCCAGCTGTAAAGTGCAATCAATTCAATTGCAACAGAAGGTGAATGAACGCCCTGCATGGAATGCCTGAAAGCAGGACTCATTTAGACCAGGCGGGTCATTTGGAAGACTGGTTTGGCTTGTCTTGTCTTGTCTTGTCTTGTCTTGGCTGGAGTCAACCCGATACAGACCGCAGTGCATCCCTGTCTGAGAGTAGGGCGTTCTAAGTCTCGCAGTTGGTCAACACTTTCTTAAAGACCAGCCACTGGTAATACCTATCCAATAAATAGCAGCAGAATGAGAGTACTTACAAAAAGATATTCTGGTTGAGTAGCAGCAGATGGCAAGGCCATACCAATCAGAAGGATGCTGCACCCTGGGTAAGATGTTGAACGAACGAATATCTACTACGTATGTACATATTTGAGCTACGATAAATATGTGAATAGATATTGAAGTCTGTATGTATACATTGTTTTTTTTCTCGTATGGCATGATATTGATCGCCCTTGGCAAATAGCCGAACTAATGGATCTGGTTTTTGACTGCAACACACAGTGTGCATCTCTGTAAACTAACACAGATATTCATGGATGTCTGCGGTTCTGAGTCGAATCTGTTACCGCCTTCATAAGCCGTAATGATAATGTAACCGTGATGATATACGGGTATTCGTAATATTATATCGGCCTGTTGCTGAAATTACGTGTCATCTACCAAACTTGCTACGGCGGCATTTATACTGTTAAACATTGCTTTCTTAAAAACGCGTTAACGCGATAAGTGTCGAGTCGTATTGAAGAATATATGATGAACGACAGCTACGTCACCGTGTATTGTCTTCGTCTAGGAAAGCTAAAAAGTAGTGGGTAAACATCTGATTTCTTTATCAGCTTTTCTTGATGGCATCGTTCGCTAAGCACTCGAAAACGTAGGTTTAGGAGCTCGCTCACAACAGGGTAATGCTCTCCTACCGTTAGATGTATCCTACCTGAAACACATTGAGTTTAACATAAACATACACATAAACTGGTGTATTTACATAAAACAAAGTGTGGCTGTTGATATAAGTGCAAATAGTCGACTGGCCGGGCTTGTACAGAGGTATTCATTAGATTACTGGTCCTTTTTTTCAATTCAGCCTAAATTAGTTCATATACATCGCATAGGATTAAGACAACGTAATAGTAAAACAACATTTCTAAATGACTAACTTAATAGACTGAAAAAGCTTAAAGCACCCTTTCTAAACTAATACGGTTATGGCAACTAATTCTAATTATCTACTATAAGTTGGTTCCATGATAAATCGGGTGGCATCGTATCCATTGTTAAACCATACTGACAATCATAACGTCAGGGCAAACAACTGAAATTACAGCTACGTTTACGATGACGTACCTATTGACCATGTTCATGCGTAGAAGCCGTCTGCGGATCAGACGTCCACCGACTAGAAGAAGACCGTTTACGCTTATACGTCACACAAATGTCCGAAAGTCTTTTTCAAACTAAATTATACCTACTTTATTTGTTATATTATTTACTAGAACGATTAAACCTGTTATGACAAGCGACTTCGATTCTCGTTGCGTCAGAGCTGCTTTTCGTCGATAGCCGGACGGAATCGAACGGTCGCTTCCGTGTCCGGCGTAGGCGGCGGTTCGTGCGCGCTCAGAAAGTCTTGCAAATGAGGTTTCGGTACTGTTGGTAACTGCAAAATTTAGTATGTGATAATTAACTACGTATTATGTAGAATCGAAATTAGCTGTTGTCGTAATAGAAGTAAATTAAAACTAAGCATTAAGAGTAGCAGTTCTCGCTGCCAAAGTAGCCCACCTTCACTCAGATATAAAAGAGCATTGGCCTTAGTCCTGACATACTCTCCAAGCGCACTATTCTTGATCCGAGAGTGGTTGGAGAGCTGCGACAGGGCTTAACCGGGCTAATCGACGCTTTATTTTTAATTGCCCTGGTGCAGCCAGCGTTCTGATTGCCCCACTGCAAAGAGCCATGGTTTGGCTTAAGGGCTTCTTTCCTTTCTGCATATGATCTTTTTGGACTTTGAAACAGACTTTGCTACGCGCTTTTACTTCACGCAGAAATTATTGGTTAATATTGATTGCGTAATATACACGTTCCGTCGCACGGTACGGCTTTCGGAACCTTGGCGCTCGTAAAGCAGCAATCGCAATATTTCTCTGCGTATATTGAAATTATTATATATGCTGTGTATATATGTACGTATATATATACGATTAAGTGATCTCACTAAATATACGTACTATATTTAATGGTGTTGTTTACCAAGTGCCGGTGTATAGTGTTATAAATACTACCTGCGCTAACTGGAACTCGCAGCGTATTTGCAGCATGGGTCGGGGCAGGCCTGACATGATGACAGGACGTATGTCTGCCTGTCCCTTCGCGTGGCTATGTACGGCACGTAAACTGGGACGTTTTGTCTCAGTGGAACTAAGTTGCTGGACTTTTTCATTGAATCACCACAGTAACGATGCTATACGGTGTTTATTAGCACGTAAAACTAATTATCTAATTACTTTCATACATAAAATGGTTTCTATACGATTCTACAGAGACTGGTAGAGTCATACGGTTGTGAACTGTTTATTTATTACTACGATATTTGTCGTGTAACGTATAAAGTAAAATTGAGCAAGAATATACTTCGGTCACGATGGGCGTGTCTGTTACATAAGCGCGTATGTAGAGCAGAACAGAAAATGTTACAAGTTTATAGGCTGTCGTTTCACATATAGTGTAGATATTGATGTACTGCCCTTGCTAAATTTCAGCAATGTTCATATTGGAATCAATGTTATCGTGTATACGTTTGTTGTTATATATCAGTTTAGCTTATAAAGATTACTAAACATATCAGGTAGAATGTGATAAAATATGGAATTAGATGTTATGGTCATAGTATTCACAAAAAAAAATTATCATTGCGATATAAATTAGCTCTGCTCTCGTATATAGGACATAGTCGTAATTTGCCGTGATGTTCTTTTAGCGTCGTATAAGATGCAGATCTTTGGAAAAGAGGCTTTAACAAACAAAAGAGGCGCTAACAACGCAGATGGCCAGGAACCTTCAAGCCCCTTTGGCGTATTCATATTTACTCAACAGTATCCTAGGCTATATGAGCGCTTATCGCGATCTAATAATTTCACCGCCACAATAGAGACGTTATGTGTGCGTGCTGTTATCAGTCAGTACGACCCGCATAGTAACTGATCTACATAATGTATCGCTCTGAGTCAGGATACTTGTCCATACGATTGTCTTTTTATTCCAATTTAGCTAACAAAACAGTCGATCTGAACATTGAATCTCAATGGCAACAGAAAATCTAGCCTCCCTTGTGTCACTCGATTATACATAGGCAATATGTAGCACAGAGGCTGAATACTACGCAGCCTACATATTAATCTACGTCTCTGACCCCCCCTCCCCCCGACATCTCGAATGGGTAGCTTTTCAAGTTCCCTATGCGTCATACCGTTCATATGTACACATAGAGCAAATTACGCTGTTCTTTCTAGACGTTGTTATCGCTCAGAAACAGCTAAGTTAGATACTGCGGGGGCGGTGTCAGTGACGCACCGTCACGCCACCACCAAAAACAATTTAGCCCCATCTCAGTCAGCCATTAATTTCTTATGTATATCTGATGACGTTAAGTTCACTGAGTTGGATCGCTATGTTATAGTGGTCTGCTATGAATAATTCACAGGATGGATTTTGCTCACGGCCAATACGACAGTGTCGCTTCGTACCGCCATAATATTCACGTCAAAGGATTGTTGTTCCCAGGCTATGTAGGTGGCAGGTTTCTACACAGTTTGCTAAAGCCGACTCTATTATCGAAACATTTACTTCGTTTTCGAAAGGGTTGAATCCGTCCCGAATTGACGTTAATTTTACACTGTGTACTACATTGTTTCGATAACTTTTTCCCCTTCTCGCAGTGTGTGTTAATAAAATACGAAATAATACGATAGATAACGCCTCAATAGTTAACAAACAAGGGCCATATCACGTCAATGTTGAATCACTTTTAAGTGTTATATAATACGTTCAAAATGAATATTTAACTAGATAGATTGCGACATTGATCACTGAACGAATTTACTACTTATTTTGTAATGTATTTTCTCACAATGTAATCGCTATTCGAAACCGAGATTTCAGCAATAAATAAGGGATAAAGGAACATTCGTTTTATAAATTGTCCAGGTAGTATTTGCGTTCCCCTTGTCGGTCAACTAATCGTATACAGGTACAATAAGGGAAACAGCATTATAATGGGGTCCGGTGATACGTATCTCATGCAGGAAAGGGCCTAGGTGGTGACCGAAACGAAAACGACTGCTACAGTCGAAAAAAGCTCAGCCCATCGCCTACGCAAAAAGTATTGCTCCTAATAATAAATACCAATACTCTTCAGCCAAAGCGTCAGCACAAACGGCTTCCCCCGCCAAAGCTGGTGATGATTAAGAAAACGAGCTCAAATCATGTCGTTTATGAGTAAAATGTTCTTCCGTACGTATGTGTTCCTGCGAACTGAGCGATACGATGTCGGTGTCGCGTAAATTTGAAATTAAGAAAATGTCTAAATTATGCCCGAAGCCGAAGTTTGTTGTTGAAACCTAACGCTGAACCGCTCTCCAGCTATTAATTAGCAGTTGGTCTAATGCACTCATATCCATTCATCAGGGCTGTTCTCGTGAGGTCACCGATGTTTAGCACTTGAATAGTTTGCTTGCGTGCTTTAATTGTCACTATGTATTTGTTGTTGTTGTTGTTGTTATTATTACATCTAAAAATCTTTCCTAGCAACAATAAAATTCAATTAACCTACTAACGGAAGCTATAATTGTGAACCCTCGTTTCACTTTATCTATGATTGCTTTGATTGTATTGTAGCTGAGAAGAACAAGTCATCTTATACTTCTCTCGCGTGGGTGTGTGTTGATATTATACTATTTTATGCTAGCAAGCGATGTCATATCAGCTCTTTGAACGGGGCTAATGCGGTGACCTGCTTTTACGGCTTCTTAAGACAGAGACGGCTATTCCGGCAATGAAAAGACCGACTGACTCTCGTTCAGCCCACTGTTGAATGGTTTTACTTTCGCCATCGTGGCTGATTCCCGATGGTAGACTAACCATAGAGCTTTGAAAAGATTGCGTCTAGGGTTGCCGATCCTCAAGACAGACAGACAGACAGACAGACAGACAGACACACTCACTCACCAGTCACTGCGTCTATTCAAAACACATAAGGGACAGCAGTTCAGTGGCCATATGCGAAATGGCCCCCACCATCTGACGAAGCCAGTGGCCGCCCATTATGGCGTGAAACTATCGCCACACTACCGGTGGAATCCAAGCGTAGTTTGCAAGTTCCGCTGCTATATCACGATACAGGCCGCTCGATGAACTTGTAACGAGCAACTGTCTTACTGCGTCGCTTATGGCTACTAATTATTTATATAATAATATGTAGACATCAAATCAGGGGCATTGCTATTTTCATTAGTCGCAAGACGGCAGCAAACGTTCGAGACGTAGGAAAGATCCCATTCAGTCAATGGAGTAGTAGTAGTAGTAGACTGCTCGTGAGATACGCAGCAGCTGTGTTCGTGTTGCCTGTATCGTGTGTCTTAGAAATATGTCTAGCGATGGTCATTGTATATGGCGGTACTGGTAAACCAAGGAACGAAGTACGTTTTTAATAGATATAGGACATTCTAGTAAACAACAGGATCTCACAGCGGAAGACAGAGGAAAGGAGTTGGCGACAGCTAGCTGAGCCAATGCCTAGTCCCTAGACCAATCATTATTTCAAGATTATGTCGCTTTTAATCAAGCGGATATTGTCTGCCTAGCGTCATTCATAACAGATTAGGAATAGCACGTTGAGATCAGGAAGCAGTTGCTAAATTTAGAACACTACAAATCTTTGTTTCAGCTTTCGACCTTCTATGTGAAGCCATATGAAAATGATCTTGGTCGGTAAAAATGTTGGATCTTTTAAGAGCCGCTCGCAAATTGAATCGTCGATTGAATTATGTCTTTGACATACGTTGACTACCTCGTAAGCCTTTCAAAAGCCAACGATAAACATACGAGTATTTGTTGATGTTGCATTTCAATCTTGGTTGCCGAATAGCTTATAGGAAGATATTTATGAAGATAGATCTTTATTATTATGTTCACTATTTAAGATCTATAGGTCTATCTATCTAAGAGTAATAATCTAATCTAATAATATAAACCTTTGTCAGATTACTGGCGCGCTGCGTAATGAAGAAGTTACGCTTCGCTAGGTCGCGGTTCCGCTAATCGACCTTTAATGCTAGAAAGAAATAGTAATCATCACAATGTAGTTAGTACTATGTAAAATACCAACTAAATCCAACCTATATCAGTTTGATTATCGTGAGTAAAACGGGGATAGATAAAGATAAATACCACTAGATGTCAATTGTTCCACCTAACGTATCCGTAAGACTAGCACCGAATGGCGTCTTAAGAAAACGTTGAGCGTATGAAGCTTTCGCCGATCCCTTGTGCAGCCCAATCGCAGGATCGCACATAACTGGACCCAGCTGTTCGTGTCTAAAGGAGTTCGCTCGGCGTTCAGCAAGAACACATACGCTGAGTCGTCGTTTTGTAAACTTAGATTAAACGGTTTAGCAAAAGCTAGTAATATTACCAGAAAATAATCTTCATTAGGATTAAATAGCCAAAGTCACGTCCCGAAAGGGTCTCGAAATGACGGGGGCAATGAAGACTCTCGGCCTTGTTACATATCACTCGGCCTCCGCTCGTGCCGGCCTAAAAAATTCCAGCCTGTGAGTACAGCAACAAAATGCACAGGTCTCACCTGGCAGTATTTCTGTTGTTTTCAATTGACTCGATACATAAAATAGTAAACACTATACTTCTGGAGGAAGCGTATTTTTTTCTACTTATAGCACACACAAACACACGTATAGCAAAAATCGCGCTGTGTGTCTCTCTGCAGACGGTAATAATCTATTCAATATTTAGCTCCCTTAATTCGCTCTCAGTTGGATTGAAATTGTTTATTAACGTTAAATCTATTAATAAAAGAATGATACATGAATGCAATGAATATATAGATTAAATTATTCATAAACATCTTATTTTTTCCAGTACTATTTAGCCATCTTCAAACGTTAATAAACTGGATAAACTGTACTCATAAGAAGCTTTTTCTTTCGTTGTTATGCTAAACACCACCGCCACCTAGGTGAAAAAACGTCAGCAGCGTGCAGCCATGATTCTCACATCGATACGAGTAAAGTTCGAGGAGGTGGATATCACGGAGCCAGGCAGGGAAGAAGAACGTGAACTCATGAAGAAAAACTGCAAGAACGAAGAGGGTCAAACACTTCCCCCGCCGCACTTTTTCAACGGAGGAGAGTATTGTGGGGTAAGGAGTCGTCCGATAATGCAGACAGATGTAGAATAGAAATGGCTCCATCTTGTGTCTTCGCAGGGGTATACATATTTTTCAGCTATATTGAAATTGGTTGACTCAAGCGACCTGTTTCATTTACGCAGCCGTTTCTATCAGAGACTTTAAATTTCCTTTGCATAGCTATATGATCTACACTAAGGTTAAGTCACGTTTTAGTTAAAGATATCCACATAAGCCTTGACGCTTAATACAAGTATTTCCTGGTACTACTGGTAACTGTCATGCTACGCTTATCCAAGGTGTTAGTGAACTTGACTTATGCCTTGCAGATTCTCGGGTTCTACAAACAAATATTTTAAATAGAGAATTTATAGGACATTTATACTGTGGCAATTTTAAGATTGTGGGTAGCCATCGTGTAATGCAATGCATCGCTTAAGTCAGCCTCTTTCCGCTAACAAAATTACTTCTTGCTGTAAAAACTTCTTTGCATCAGTTTGAAAAATAAACGGGTATATAACACACACATATATATCTTTTAGAATAAATACATATATTTAGTCTATTTCAAATATAACATATATA